CTGCCAATAATGAGTCCACATTTACAGACAGAACAATCCCACAGGCCCAAACAACTGACGTATGTCACTTCCACTCTGATAGTCATTCATTTAGGTAGTTAGAGCATCAGCTGTACAGTTCTGCATCTGTTTAATGTTTTCCAGGAGTATGGTTTGTAAATAAAATGATTACTTAGTATTTTAAAGGTTGTGTAACACAAAATGTAGAGATTGAGAAAAAAATGCGTAGGAGGATTAAGAAGTCAGAAGGGAAAGTTTCAGAAGAGTGGAAAATCAGGAACAAAAAAAATGGTTAAAGGACTTGGAGAAAAGTTTGATCTCTTCAGATCAGCAAGTGAGCTTGGCTGTGAAAAATAATTGTAAGTACCTCTTTAAGAATTTTGAACATGACATCAAATTTTGATTATTTGATTTGGGGCAAAAGAAGTGAGCCAAAAACACCATTAAACCAAATGAAAAATAAACCCTTTTTTTTTTTTTTTTTTTTTGTGACCCTGTAAGAAAACAGAAATGTGACTGTCATTATGTAATGCAGGCCTATTTCCCAAATGGAAAATGGAAGAAGCTTCAACTGAAGACACATTTCAGTGCAATTTGATTTTGTCCCATAATCTCAAAGTCACATAATCTCAGGTATTGTACCAACTGATCAACCTGTCAAATGACAGCATTTTGCAGTAATGCTTTCATGTCTTCAACTGCTTAATCTAAATGTATATCTCCCAGACTTTCACAAATTTACACCTCACTGCATGCTTTGTGTATATAAGGTTCATATACACAAAACAGGATCATCACCTCAAGCCACCTAATATGCTACCACAGAACTACACTAGTGACCTGAAAAAAAAAAAGCTGATAGCTGAGTGGAGAAAATGACTTCCCCTTGAAGTAATGTTTGTAGTAAATTATTTATAATGATATGAATATGCATCATCTCAGAGACAGCTTTGTTATAGAAAGAAGAGTAGATACTTCATATTCTACTACCAAATAAACAAGAGAGCATCTTGGAACATTCTATAAATTGCAATACCAAAATAAAGATCAAAACTACAAAGAAATGAAGATGATAACTGTAAAAATAAGTGCATTTAATTAAAATAATTTTGGAAATATTAATTTTGAAAACCTATGCATTATTTACCGCCTTCTTAACTTTAAATAAATGCTGGGTTGCCAACTCAAGCTCTCACGTAATACCCAAATAAATAGAGACAATTGAAAATAAAACAAAATCTGCTAATTCCCAACCTGCACGTCTGTCACAGTTGTGTTCTGTTTAGTTTGTTTTCATTGGACTTGTCTGCCTGTCATCACGTCATGTGTCGTCTTAATCATCATCATCATCTGTATCACCAGTGTTCTGTTTATCAGTGTCATCTGTGTTGTATTTAGGGCTGGGTATCGTAACAAAATGTTCGGTACCGATACCGATACCGATACCTTGACTTCGATACCGGTTCCTGAACGATACTTTTTTCGATACCAATTTTATGTAACCAGGTTTAACAATATAACATTACCTAATTTTTTTTTCAGTTTGTTGACTTTTTTACACTCATATTTTGAGTATGTAAAAAAGCACCAATGCTAAAGTTTTCTATGTTTCCTAATCATTTAACAACATGTATTCTTTACTTCAATGAGCTCATTGTTTCTGCTTTAACTTAATGCATTAATTAACGATGAAACTGAATGAAAATTAATTGAAATGCATTACACTGTCACCTCTGATAACAGATCACTCTAAATTGTAATTTAGACATGCATTTTCTGTAAAGCTGCTTTGAAACGATATGTATTGTGAAAAATGCTATACAAATAAATGTGAATTAAATTAAATATAGGCTACTGGGGGGCGGGATATATACCTGCACGTGAAGCTTGCAGCAAAGCACTGGCAAAAGTAGCCTAATGATTATGGATGTGGAAACAATAGCAAGGAGATATTTTAATTGTTTATTAATGAACAAGTGTTTACTAATGGTGTGTTCACACCGAACGCGAATTTAATTATTTGTGCGAGTAGATTGCATACATAGTCAATGCAAAGACGCGAATAGACGCATCATTCGCGCCGGGCGTCGCGAATGACGCGAATTGGGCGACGCGTTTGCCGCCAACGTCTTCCGCGCAAGTTGAAAAATTTGAACTCGAGCTGAAGATTCAAGCGTCGAACTAGACGCGATAGACGCGTATTTGACGCTCTATTCGCGTTCGATGTGAACACCATTACTCTCAAGTGTATTTTGTACGCTTCAGTGCCTAGATTTACCGTGTTGCCGGTCGATCTTGGCAGCAATGATCTTGTCGAAAATATTGCATCGCGTGCATCTGGCATCGAGTCTGGCACATGACATAGGTACACTTTGGATCATTTCCACATATTTTCTATCTATCTGGGTTGGGACGCACGCTTACACACACACACACACACTGCAGCCTCACGTGCGACGAGCCGCGTCTCTGGGCAGCCGCGTAAACTAGTGTTTTTCCGCCACAGCCAATCATGCTGCATGCTTATTGTTTCACTGACGTTGACGAGATTAACCACTTAGGTACCGAAATGTGGTACCGAAAAACAAGACATGTTTCGATACTCGGTAGTATCGAGGCAATTCAGTCGGTACCTAAAAAGTACCGAACTCGGTACCCAACCCTAGTTGTATTTAAGTTCCGATCTCCGTTATATTTAGTGTGTGTTGCTGCCTGTTCTGCTGTCCTGTGTTATATTACTATTAAACATTCATTTTATAATTATATCCTCGCCTCCGTCTGCCTTCCTGCAACCACCCATGACAGAAGATTGGACCAAGACCAAATGGACGACAGGGCTATATTTGTCGCTATTGCTCAATAGAGCACGGAATTCTTTTCCTTCACGGATAAGTTTGTTCGCCAAGCCGTCACTAGCACCCTCGATGACGAAACCCTCAAGCTGCTTTTCTGGATCGGGGCCAATTTCCACCAGGTCACCGACCTCCCAAACACCGATGGACTGAACTGGAGGGAAGCCATCGGCTGGTGTTTGGTGAGTGTCGCGTCCCGATCCAGAAAACAACCACCATCTCCAGAGTCTCGTCCCACCGAGACCACCCCTTCCAGAACTTCTTCTCATCATGACTGTCAAGCCTGAGCTTCTTCACATCATACCTGTCACGCCTGAGCCCTCGTCTCCGGCCAAGATGGCCGCCGCCACGCCTGAGCCCTCGTCTCTGGCCAAGATGGCCCCCACCACGCCTGAGCCCTCGTCTCCAGCAAAGATGGCTGCCACCCCGCCGCCCGAGCCCTCGGCAAAGATGGCCGCTGCCTCGCCTCCCGAGCCCTCGGCAATGATGGCCGCCGCCTCGTCTCCCGAGCCCTCGATAAAGATGGTCGCCCGCCTCTCCTGTCAGCCCCATCACTCGCCCTCTACACGCCAGTGGAATGGTGGGCTCGCTGAGGGGCTTCCAGCCCTCAGTACCATCTTGGACAGTGGATCACTGGGATCCAACTCCAGCCACCGCATCCAGGATTCCAGATCGGCCCATCAGTCCACTGGCTCACCCTTGGATCCCGCCTCCATCTCCGCCGTGGTCCATCAGGTCAACAGTTCCACCAGGCTCCCTCATCCCCCAGATTCACCTTGATCGCTCGTCGACCTACCCTCATCTTTGGACTGTACTCCTCTGGCTCCGCCTCGTCCCTTCGTCCCCCCGGCTCCATTGGACTCCTCACTCCCTTCTGCTCCTCCTTGGTCCTCAGTCCCTCTGTCTCCACCGCGCCCTTCTGTGTCCCCGTCTACACCTTAGTCGCCTGAGCCAGCGGCTTCCCCGTGTCCCTCTGTACTAGTGTTGTTTTTGGCGGCCTGTTTTAATTTTAGTTTTAGTCTAGTCTTTGTGTCAAGCTGTCATTTTAGTTTTTATTAGTTTTAGTCACGTTCATACTCTTTTTAGTCTAGTCTAGTTTTAGTCGACGAAAGACATAGTCTTGTTTAGTCAAGGAAAATTGTATTTTAGTCTCTTTTTAATAATGCAATTCTATTAAACCCAGTCAATATAGTATAAGTACCTAGTAGTAGACGAAACCAAAATTTTCTTTTAGCCAAACCCATTTCAAACAATCTTATCGTCTTATAGTTATCTTATTATATTATTGTTACCTTATAGATTAGGGATGTCCCGTTCCGATCCACGTCATCGGTATCGTGTCGATACTGGCCCAGAACGCTAGATCGGAGATCGGAGGGGAGAAAAAAAATATGATCCGATACCTATCCAACAATGCTTGAATATGAGCATTTCCCTGGCTGTGACATCAAGTTAAGCAGCGCAGTCTGCAGATTGGGCGGTTTTGCAATCTATTTTGCGGACCAAAAATAGATTTGGACGGGTGGATAAAAATTGGGCTGGTTTCGGATCAGTTCGGTGGGTTTTTGTAGCCGAAACACCAGCACTTCAGATCCTTCTTTTGGCGACCCTCTGTTCAGCAGGCAGTAGTCTCACTCACTCACTCACATACACACACTACATCTCTGGCTGACGTGCCCCCTAAACTCACAACAGACACTCCCTCCCACTACCTTCGGTGTACTAAAAACACGGTTTTGCAATCCGTCTCCTTAGTTTATAAACCGTAGCCTGTAAACTGTAGACACAAAATTGACACATATCCAAGCAAGAGTTTGTGCGGAGTGTGGAGTGCGCACTGCATGGCGCGGGTGCGAACACTTGCGTTTTCCTATCCACAGTGGAAACAACTTAAAATACTTAAAGAAACAACTTAAAGTACACGAGTAGTGTAACTCGACCAAGAATGGTGACACAAAATAAAACGTTGCGCTTTTCTAAGCGTGTAAAGTGGATAACTATAATGTATGGTGGAATACCATAGCAAGTGCTTGGGAGCACTTCGACTCAGCGCATATATATCTATGGACTCGGCGCAGTAATATCATCACTCCGGAGAGGGGGGAGAGGATTTTTCACGAGTGATGATATTACTGCGCCGAGTCGAAGTGCTCCCAAGCACTTGCTATGGTATTCCGCCATACATTATAGTTATCCACTTTACATGCTTAGAAAAGCGCAACGTTTTATTTTGTGTCACCATTCTTGGTCGAGTTACACTACTCGTGTACATTAAGTTGTTTAAGTATTTTAAGTTGTTTCCACTTTTGATAGGAAAACGCAAGTGTTCGCGCCCGCGCCATGCAGTGCGCACTCCACACTCCGCACAAACTCTTGCTTGGATATGCGTCAAAATCTTGTGTCTACAGTTTACAGCCTACGGTTGCCACTTTACACGCTTGGAAAAGCGCAACGTTTTATTTTGTGTCACCATTCTTGGTCGAGTTACACTACTCGTGTAACTATTTAAATAGGGAAAACGTGGAGATGTTTGGTCGATTCTCTGCTTGGATCCTAATGAATGAACTGGGCTAAGCTAAGTGCTAACAAAGCACTTTTCTTACGAGGCAGGCAATACTATTACTGTGAGCTAAATGGGTCAGCAGTCTCCACTGACCCAGAAAGCTTGGTAATATGACATCAGTTTCCTCTATTACTGTTTTACCATCCACTGTCCAAACAATCATTGGCCATTAATTTGTCTTCCTATCTCTTTGTTTGACACGTCCAGGCATGTAACTCTACCTGAGGACAGATTACAAAAGAGAATAAACGGGATATGTCATCTCTCATGAGTTACAATTAACCCCCTGGGGTCGGCTATCGCGCCGGCGCGATTGTCTCGCTTTTTTTCTTATCAGTGCAAAAGAGACTCAAAATACTCGGTTGATTTTAATCTTACAAATAAGTGTTGTACATCATTAGATCCTGTTAAGTTTGTATTTTTTTTGTGGATACACACAATAAAAACAAAGTGTTGTGCTTTTCGCCAAATAAAGAAAAACAAACATGATGCGAGTTCTGCGTTCCCTCTGTCTGTGAAGTCCATTCTGAAACGCGTCCTAAGATTAACTGGAACTCCGCGAATACTTGTCACACAGGCACGAGAGATTTTTCTTTATGAAGCTTGAATTCTCTTCTTTTAAATGAAGTAATTTATATAAAAAACAAATATTCTCAGTTTATGTAATCCGTGAAACCAAGGAGAGGTACAGTTTTTTTCTCTCCCCCCTCATTATTTTTAATGAGCTGAGGCCGGCACACCCCCGGCGCTGTTCACATGGTAAATAGGTGATCTATGCGTCGCACACGCGGACACGCCCCCCGATCAATGCCATAAAAACCCGAAGTTTCTTTATGAGATTCACTGATAGATCATCGCGTTTTGAGGATGGCACGCTACTCCGGTGATGAAGCCCTTCAGATGATTCTGGACAGCGAGGAAGAATTCACCTTTTCCTCAGAGGAAGATTGCAACTCGGATGACGAACGGCTGCATTTTGAAGAACGAATTGATCCCGCCGAGGATACAAGTTCGGAGTAAGTTGTTTAGTGTTATATAATTCCTTTTCTGATCATATAGAACTCATGAATTTTCAGACGATATTTTGCCTAGTTTTGGCTAGCTTATGACAGCCCTAACATTCGTGTATGCTCAAGTGTAGCTAAACTTTTAAAATGTGATATTATACACTCTAAACATATTTGTATATTAAATATATTTCACTCGGTTTTGATTAGCCTATGACACTGATTATCATGCTAAAATACTGCCTTATGCATAATGTATCTTGTTTGCGAATATCTGCTTAGGCAACACGATCTCATAAAAGTGCGTTTCTAGGCTTAGGTTATATAATGTGATTTAGTGCAAATATATTTCCGGTAAAATATGTGATAGGCCTATTGTCTATGCAATATATTTATATTATGTTCAGTTTTGGTTAGCCTATGACACTACGTATCACGCTTACTGCCTTATGCACAGATGTGAATAGCCTACAGGTGTAAATGTTTGAAATGTGTCGTTCGCGAACGATCCGTTTATTGCGTGTAGACCACTAAATGCGTGCGGATAATGTCTATGTATAGTGGATAATGTGTATGCTAACAGGTTTTTTTTTTTTTTAGGAATGTGTGTAGGCCTACAGCACGCTCTCCTTCTCCAGCAGCTCGCAGAGGGGAACGCAGGCGTCGTTCAGTTCTCAGTGCGATTGAGAATCAAACTGAGTAAGTGCATAGATGTAATATTTTACAGATTTACAATGTAATCATGACATCTTTGCAGACACTGACACACAGAAAACAGTTGATTAATAAAAATAAAATAAAAATTTATAACGATATTCGACGTTTGCTCCTTGATTGTCGAATGCCATTTTTGGCAGAAATGATCAAATACATACAGATGATACAGTTTCATTGATTGTGTTATCAGCATTCTCACTTTTTTTTTCTTTTTTTTAACAGATGTGACAATGAACATGTCCAAGCACCTGTCCCAAAGAGAGCCAAGGCAAACAAGCAGGCAAGCAACAGGCAGACCACTCTGTCATGGAAAACAGAGACCGATGTTGACATGGCTCCACAGACACTGCGATTCCTTCCTGCACGGGAAACTGGACCGCAACTGAGCTCTGTAGACTCGCATTCGCCCATGAGTCTATTCAAACAATTTTTTTCAGAAAGTGCTGTGTCAACTCTGTGCCACAACACCAATGCTCAGGCTGCCAAGGCAGCTGCAAAGGGCTGCAAATACAAATGGACGGATGTCAGCATCAGTGAGATGTACCGCTACATTGGGCTGCTGTTTTACATGGCCATGGTGAAGGTCAGTTCCATCAGAGACTACTGGCGGCAAAGCAGTGTTTTCTCCGTACCCTTTCCTGCTACAGTAATGTCTAGGGACAGATACCGCACCATTTCATGGAATGTACACATGAGTCACCCAGATGCAGATAAGGAGAATGACAGAAAGAGGGGCACACCTGAACATGACCGTCTTTTCAGGGTCAAACCTCTCATGGACACTATCCGTCATGCTTGTAAAGCCATCTATCATCCTAAAAGAAACTTAGCTGTGGATGAAAGAATGGTGGCATGCAAAGCACACACCGGTATGACGCAGTACATGAAAGCCAAGCCAACCAGGTGGGGTTTCAAGCTGTTTGTTCTTGCAGACTCATCGAATGGATTCACTGTGGACTTTTCTGTGTACACAGGAAAGAACAATTTCCCCACAGGCCATGGACTGTCATATGATGCTGTAACATCTCTTTTAGACCACACATTTTTGGGTTCTGGGTACCATGTGTACATGGACAATTTTTATACAAGTCCAAAGCTCCTAAAAGACTTGTTTGCAATGAGGTTTGGTGCATGTGGGACTTACAGGGACAACAGGAAGGACTGCCCTCGGAATGCAGCTAATTCACTCTCTAAAAAATCTGCCAGGGGATCCATCAGGTGGATTCGGGATGGACCTCTTGTATTTGTGAAGTGGATGGACACACGAGAGGTATCTGTCTGTTCTACCATCCATCCTGCTTATACGGGAGACACTGCACAGAGGAGAGTGAAGACACAAGATACATGGAGGACATAGACATTTCCATGTCCTACACCTGTGACTGAATACAACAAACACATGGGTGGTGTTGACCTGTCTGATCAGCTGTTACAGTACTACACTGCACAACACAAAACAATGAAGTGGTACAGAAAGATTTTTCTACACTTCTTGGACATTGCTTCCACCAACTCTTTCATTGTGCACAAAGAGCTACATGGTAACTTGTCCCATAAAGAGTTTATGGAGCAACTTATCACAGAGCTCTGTGGTGTGTCACAGACAACGGCACCAAAACGGACCAATAGTGACCATGTACCGGTTCCAGGAGCTGAGCTGACATCAGAAGGCAGGGATGTTGCCACAGTTGGTCGCCGCAATTGTGTGCATTGCACAACAGTGCGTGGTAAAAGGCAATTGACACCATGGAAATGCCAGGCATGCAATGTTCACTTATGTCTTCAGTTGAACAGGAACTGTTTTCAAGAGTGGCATAACGATGTGTGACTGTGTGCTCTGCTGCTAACTAACTTTCACTAACCATCAGCCTTCAGAAATCATTCTGATTGTTTATTTATCGCTCACAATTGCTTTGTTTATAGCCGACTGATTATTTATTTTACTCACATTTGATTTGCTTAGAGCCCGCATCAACGGGGCATAAGCATTTACTGTGAGATACCTGCCTTTACTTTTGTTTGTTTATCGCTCACAATTGCTTTGTTTATAGCAGACTGATTATTTATTTATTTTACTCACATTTGATTTGCTTAGAGCAAATTTAGAACATTTAGTTTCTCCACACAGAGGAATTACAATAAAACAGATTGAAAAACAAAACCTTTGAATCTCCTCTCATTCTTTGTTCAGGCTTCCTCACCCTAATGGGCCATTGGGGGAGTGTCTGTCACACCCCTGGTCTGAATCTCATTAATATTGATAGGCCATTACCACTCCCACGCATAAACCTCTTCTGACAAAAAAACTGTCATACAAAGTATAAATTAATGTTTTGTTTTATGTGAACGATTAGGAGGGATGATTTTCACATCATTTTGAAGCCAGAACTCGAAGCGACAACATCCATTAGTCAAAAGTCTTGTGGACACATATTTAGTATTTGTTTTGTGGTCTTATTTCAGCAGCTTTCATTTTTATTTTTTTCAATAACCACGCATAAACATTATTCTCTTAAAAATACAAACTTGTACATACATGTTGCTCAGATATTATGGTAACCCCGTTTGTGCTATATAGAGTGAATTTACACCTTTGCCATTAACATGTTTATAAATAACTGAAAAAAGCACAAATGTAAGGGCATGCCAGAACATCCCAATGGCCCCAAAAATACCTCAGACCCCAGAGGGTTAAGCTGGCCATCGATTTACTCCTGAAACATTGCTCTGCACTACATGGTTCGCGCACACACACACACTGCCAATAGCTTCCTGTCATAAGGCAGGGCTACACAATCTTGTTCCTAGAGTGGTAGATTTTGCCCTATGCACCTACCTTAAGTTTACCTGGGTCGTCTCCTAATCGACGCCCCTAAATATGAAGGCAAAAGAGTAGCAATACTCAAGAGCACGTAGATGTGAATTTGAGAACTTGTACAATAAATATTCGTACTTGTATGTGAACATTTACACTCACAGCTCCAATGTGAAAACCTGTAAAATAAAAATCTGAAGTTGAATGTTGAAATTTGCACTCGCAGATAATAGTCACAAACCTGTATTCTGAATTTGAAGTTGCAGACAAGCAGTCAAAAAATGTGTAAAATGTGTAAAAAACATTCACAGAAATACAATGACAGTCACAAACATGTAATATTTGCATTTATTCGTACATTCACAATACAACCTCAATTTGGCACTTGCAACTTCTCAAATCTGTCACTGCAAATTCAAATTTCGCGGCTTGACTTTTGCTACTCTTTTCGCGATATGTGAGGTGCAAAACTAACTTGTGCACTTGCA